TGAAGGATAGTAGGATGAATTGGATAGTACTGGTGTGATTCCACATCATGTACAACCAGAAGAGTGAGAAGTTATACTCCACTGATGTCTGATGTGTTAAAATGCATTCCACTGTCATGTATAACAAATAGAACAAATAAAACATTACTTAAAAATAACTGGGTAAACAGCAGAAAATCAATAGAGGGACGAGAGCAGGGGATAAGGAAAGGGAAGGAGAGGTACAAGGGTCCTAATTAGAATAAAATATATACCATGCTTTTATAATTCTACCAAAATGGATTCAGCACATATAACTAAAAAGAACCAAATAAAATAAGATTTTTAAAAAGATTTAAAAAGTTTTAAGCATGATTCTTAATTATTTCCTTGATAGTTACAAGTAGATAGAAGTCTTAGCACATTTTTTTAAATACTTCAATAGCCCATGTGCAACTCTTAGAAAATTTTCACCTAGGACTGGGGTTGTAGCTCAGCGGTAGAATACTTGTTTAGCATGTGTGAGGCACTGGATTTGATTCTCAGCACAACATATAAATAAGTAAAATAAAGGTCCATTGACACTAAAAAAAATATTTTAAAGTGTTTTTTTTTCCACTTAACTTTTGTTCCTATTGTATTGCTTAATGTTGGAGTAGTTTAAAAAATGTCAGGCTATACCTGTGATATATCATCTGGATATATCCTCTGTGAAGTAGTGTATATGATAGACATATAACAAAGAGAGGCAATCTTGTAAGTATTGAAAATTAATTTTGAGGAGACATACAGTACAGTATATCATAACATGCTACTTGAATCTGCAAGAAACAATTTTTATTAGTCATAATTATATAAACACTATTCCTGTAATGATATAAACACTCTCCTATAACTGCAAGTTCTACGATAACTATTTTGGAATGATGAAAGGAGGTAGTCGTGGGGAGCTGGGCAATGCTTATCTGCAACCTGTGGTGGTTAATCCTGCCTACAACTGAGAAGCCCAAATAATAGTCAAACATAATTATAAAGTTGGAAGAAATATAGTAACATAAAGTTGGGGTGGTTATCTTTGAGCAGTAGGACTGGGGAAAGTGGAAAGGGTGAGAGTTGATGATGAATATTTTGCTCTTTGATGTGTAAACTGTGAACATTCACTATTCTCTCCACTGGTAACTTTTTCCTGGATGACCACCCCAATATATCCCATGTCTAACAGTGTTGAATTAGGTGTCCCTTCTATGTTACAACAGCAATGACATGCTTGCCTCTCTTTGCCCTGTTTTGTTTTCCACATTTTAAGTAAGTTTATGTGTACACGATTTTCATTTATCTTTATCAGCATTATTAAAATTTTCCAGTCTGAGAAATGACATCTTTTGTAAACCACAGGAAGTTCTCATCTTTCAACTTGTATCATGAAAAATAGCACATATAAAAATATATAATATATATTCATTGAAAACAAGAAATGATAATAAAGTCTATACTCATGTACCCCCCTCATGCATGATACTAATCGAAATAACTCAAGAAGCATTGTATCATCTTCATTCCTTATTGTGTCATTTTAAGTCTAGTTATCTGGCTGCTTATGAGGAAAGCTGCTGATTTCAATTTATGTATTTTGCTTAATTTAGCCATAGTTTTTGTTCCATGTAACCAGTATCTTGAATTATACAAATGTTAGTAATTTACCTATGTGAAATTTCAAAGCATACCTTATATTTTTTTTGTATCTTTGTTACCAAAGAAAGAAATGTGTTCATTTCTGCATCAGTTATTCACTTTTGTATAAATTCTTTCAGGATCTTTGTGACTTAAAATAGCAAGAAGTGGTGTCAAAGGGAAAATGACCTCAGGAGAAAAAATCAAGTCCAGTGTGCACACCTATAGCATTTGATCTCAGGGTCAGGCTCCAATCAAGGATACAACAGTTTTTTCAGAGCTCAGAAAGATGTTGGATGGTGACCTGAAGATTCTCTTACTCAAGCCAAGGGGCTTCAAAGAAGTGAAGATAAATCTATCTTCAAGGAATTGTGAATATGACTTGCTTCCATTCATTGGTTCAATGGGGCTCAGTTGGGTGATACTGTTGCTTCATGTGTTTTTGTTGGAGTGACTTCTATGATTGCATGTGTCTTGAGAGCTTTATTGGGCTACAGTGTCTGAGATGACATCATTTACATGTCTGTTGACTCAATGGTGCTATCTGAAATGGCTGGAAGCTGGATGGGCTTCTTTCTTCATCTAAATGGATGATTATAGACTGAAAGCAGAAGCTATCAGAACTCTTCGAAGATGGCTGGCCATAATGGACACACTGTCACTTGTACACATTTTATTAGATAAAGGAATCAAAAGCAAGAGCAGATTTAAGTTAAAAGGCCATCCTGGATTTAATAAAGGGGAGTACGGGACTCCACTTTTGGTTGGAAGAATGGATTATGTATAAGTATTTGGAAAGAATAACCTTCTTTAAAAATAATCTACCATAGTCTTCCCTCTGTCCGGCCATAAGAATTCATATCCTTATCTTGCACAAAACATTCTCACTTTTCTCCCAAAGTCCTACATCTTTATGGCATCTCCTCAAACTCCTGGATCTTCTCACCTAAATCTGATTCAGATCTGCGTGTGTCTCCTGAGACATAGCTCCACCTAATACCAAGACCAGTGAACTGTGAACTGAAAAGCTTCTCACATCATCAACTGACATACCATTATGAGGTAGAGATAGAAAAAATTGTACTGGACATTCCCAGTTAATAAGGGAGTGGGTGGTAATGGAGAGCACATAGAAATCTGAAGTCTATCTCTCTGAAATTCTGAACTGTATCTGAGCACATATTATTGGGTCACTTACTTCCTGAGCAGAGAATTTTTTTTTATTATGGTCCAGTTGCTCAGGTCTGTCCTCATGAACTAATTCATTTTTCTTTGATACTTGTCTCTGAATTCTCATCTTTCATTTCCCTAGTAAGATGGCCTCCATTTGTACTTAAGTACCTGCTACTACCTGATTTCTGCTTGCACTAGATTAGGAGCTTCGAGGCATGCTTTTTCTTATGCACTCTCTCTGTCCCTTTTACTCTAAACTGTCAGGACTATTACTAGTAAAATTTAAGACTTGAATATTTTATAAAAATCTTATTCAGATTTATGTCATGATCATATTCATATTCTTGGAGACAGTTTCTCTTAAAGAACGTAAAGCTTCCTAGAAGAATGTCTCAGCTTCTTGAAGACCTTTGGCCTGACTGAGAGCATCTATAGATCATTACTCTACATCTTTCTGAAGTCTAAAGAACCTGATAGTCACATTCTTGATTGGAGACTGACCCTGAGAGAAGACATTATAAGGGTGCACATTGGACTTGAATTTTTTTTCCTCTGGGGTCATTTTCTCTGTGATATATTTTTAGCTAGTTGGAGAGACTGTTCTGGGACTTTTATACTTACTCTTTGTTCTGCTTGAAAACTAAAGAATTTCTCATTTAAAACAAATTCCTTATAATATCCTTATGACTAAACTAAAATAAGTGAGACTCAGTATTCTTTAGGGGAAATCTTCTTAGCCAACTTCATAATTTCATGAGGTACATTTTCTATCATCCATGCTATTGCCAGAGAAATTATTACAAAAATTCTATAATGATAACATTGGTTGTGCTTCCTCTAACACCTAGTAGCAATTTCTTCATGGTCTTTCCAGCCCTGCCAACAATATTCATGAAAACCTTCCAGCCTCTGTCTACCTTGGAAAAGGCTATATTTTGGCTCCTGGAAAGACAGTACTCCACTTCCAGTATCAATTCTTTTGTATTAGTTATTCATTTCTTCAATGATGTGGAAACAAAACTACTGTCCATCAATAGCAGCATAAAGTAATAAATGTTATTGTAGATCACATATGTGATGATCCAAAATCATGGTGGATTGTGCAGAGTGCTCAACTGTAAAATGCATGAAGGTCAAGGCAATCCCACATACAATCCTGTGTAAGATCAAAATGCTATTTCAAATCTGTCTAACTTACTCAGTGAATGATGTTTGAACAATTGATTAATCACTGGAGAAAAATAATGCTGTTATTATCACACACAATCAATCCCAGAGAGCTTGAATATTAAAAATTATAATGTGAAAATATAATAACACTACAAAAATATTCACTTAATTCTGTAACAGAGAGGCCTACGAAGGTCAGAAAAGCAAAGAGCTGAAATAATGAGTTGTTGGATTAGAACACATGAGAACTAAGTGCTTCCATATTAAAAACACAAACACAATTATGTATACACAACAAAAGACACAAAAGAGAGAATATCAAAATATATTGAGTGTTTGAAAGTCAATAAGCCAACAGATGACTCCCCTGATAGAAGACCATAAAAGAAATAGGAATTTCAAAAAGAAATTAGAACAGTTAAAACACACACAATTGTTCAATTTTACTAGGAAATAAAATTGAATATTGTAAAATGAAACAATAAGAATTCATTTCACACACTTCAACTACACTTTAAAAATCTCTCTGTATTAAATATGTATTCCCTGGTGTTTGACAAACTCTTTTATTTGAACTCTGCTGGTGGATAGGTGTACTGGATAGAACAAAAACACCATGAAGGCCAATCCTTTCTGCTTCCATTTGAACTTCACACTTCCCATTCTGAGAATTAACAGTTCAATTAGTAATAAGAAAGTATGCCATAAGATTTTTGCACAAAATTATGGTCAAATATGATAATAGCACGTGTAAAATAACTAAATGCCAGCTAATAGAGCCACTTAAGTAATATTAAAATACATTTAGGAAAGCATCTGGTAAGATATATCCCAAAATATTTGCAGAGGTTAACTCTGGACATGATATTGCTCTTCTTTTTCTTTCTTATTTATTATTATTTCCTAAAATTTATATGAATATTATAAAGGTAACTATCTTCCATTAAAGTATGTGTACATATTTCAAGCATTAATTTAGAACCCATGAACCTTACAGATATACTTACTCTCCCAGAAAAACAATCTCAGTGTTGATTTCCCCTGACCTGTGACGTAGAAAATTCCTCAGGAAAGCGGTCACACTGTCTACAGTGATGTTTCCACAGACTACAATGAACCTAGGTAATAAGAATAGACAGAAGGGTCATCTGAAGAACAAAAGTACAATGGGGAGTGGATTCCCCATATCCACAGGGAGTGGATTCCAAGACCCCCAAAGATACCAAAATTTGCAGATGCTCAAATCTCTCATATAAAATGATATATCGATAGCATATAACTTAGATTCTCCTGTCTACTTGAATCATCATTTGATTACTTATAATACCTTATACATTGTACATGCTATGTAAATAGTTAGTACACTGCCTTTACCTCCTTGAATAGGTTCATAGTTTGCTATGGAACTTGTACTCCCATTGCAAATATTTGTTCAGGGAATAATGACAAGTTCATTTTTTATGCAATTTTCTACCGGTGGTTGGTAGAATCCACTGATTATAGCTTCTTATTAGGACTTAGGGATGACAATTAGCTTAAACCTGATTACAAATAAATTTAGATTTTAAATCCTCAGATTTTTAAAATAGGAACACTAAGAGCTGCATCTCCAATGTACAAAAGCACCAGACTTCTGTGGTCTTCTAGCTCATCTCAAATATGGCTTGTTTCCAAACAACTGAATTGCATGTAATTTTTCAGGAGCACAATCATTGCTAGATTTATTGTAGCTATTTATGACTTATAATGGATTTCTCATTCAGTTTTTCTCCCTTGGATTTCTGATGCTCTGATATAGACTTTTTTTTTTCATTGAGGAACTGAGGCTCAGAATGATTTAATCCACTTTTCTGTAGCAAATGGGAAATATTGTGGTTGAGCTGGTCTCGTATTCTAGATCAGTTCCACATCTAAAATTATCAGGTATATATGACAGAATAAGCCATATGGAGAGAAATCTAAGATAGGTACAGAAAAAAAAATGTTTTCAGGATGAAAAACAGCCATCTATTTTCTTAGGCTTAACATATTTGCAAAAACTATTTTCCCCATTAATCATTTAAGAAAACTGAAGGAATAATTATAGCCTAAATTAACCCAAAATTTCCTAACCCTAGTGGCTGATATTTCATGCATTTCATATGCCTTTTCTGAAATGAAAAGTTTCAGATTTTGAGACTTTGGATTATCTGGTTTATTCCATTACTTTATCTTAGTTATTTTTTCATTAGTTTCAACATATATTTCCTTTTCTATTTATACTTCTTGGTCAACAAAGTTTTTTTTTAATCAAATGTGTTAAGAAATCTCTCCAAAGAGATTAATCTCCAATGTGCCTTTTTATTGTGGGGACTAAATGAAAAACAATTATATTACATTTAAGGTCTCCAATGCCTTCTTTTCTTCATAGATGTGAAAAGTAATAATGGAAACAAAGGTAACATAAGTTCAGAAGAAAATAGAATAAAAACACTTCCACATATAGTTTTCCTCCTTGGAATAAATAGTCATAACTTAGACAAAATCAATTATTTTAGAAGCACTGTAGAAGGAGGTAAAAAATGTTCTTCACTGTAGCAAATCTTTGCCCAAAAAATGAGCTCCAAGTGGTTTAGGGGAGTTTTACCTAAGACAACTCAATTACCTTAATTATTTTAAATTTGAATTGTGGCTTTAACTTTATCCATTATGTAAAGTTTTCTTGCCAAAAGTTCACCATATTATGGAAATGAATGAGACAATTAGTAACACAAGAGATTAGATAGTGATAAAGGATGTAGATTTGGATTACATAGAGGAAAGTGAAGGAGGAGAGGGTATATGGGGGTAGAAATGATAGCAGAATGAATAGGACATTACGACCCTTTGTGCATATACAACCAGAAGAATGAGAGGTTATACTCCATTTATGTGTGATGTGTCAAAATGTGTTCTACTGCTATGTATAACTAATTAGAACAATTAAAAATATTTAAAAAGAATGTAGAAATATTGCCAAAATTACTACTATTTATTGACAGTGGATTATAACATTATCTGTCATTTTAGTTCTACATATTTTTGGAATAAAAATGGAGTCACTGGTGTTTGAAAGAAAGAAAGAAAGAAAGAAAGAAAGAAAGAAAGAAAGAAAGAAAGAAGGAAAGAAAAGACAGGAGGTAATGAAGGAGCAGTTTTTATGCAAAATTACAAGATTTGAACAACTATCACATAAGACATTCAGACCACAACCTGCACAAGATCCCCAAAAACCTTGCACAAAGAAGTGCTTCTACAGGGGCATCTGAGTGACAACTGCCTATTCAACCTCACACTGGTACCACCCCTTTATTAGTCTTTGAGGCCAATAATTATTTTTCAATATTTCTTCTGTAGTCCTCTTCATATAACCTTTATTTTTTTATCTGGTGCTCAAAAGCTCTTCCTACCTCAGCCTCTCAAGAACTTAGTAGCACAGGCATGACCCGCTGTGATCAGCTTTCATTTCCCTTTAAATCATCCTTTACCTCCTTAAATATGCTCATAGTTTGCTACAGAATGTGTATTTCCATCGCAAATGTCTTCTATTCCCAATTAAATGTCAGTATTCTTTGGAGAATCCCTGCCACTCTGTTATTTAGGTTTGCCTACTTGATTTAATGTCCTTATAAGTGTCTATATAGTAGTTTGTATCAAATATTTATTTGTATGGTATTGATTTTAGTACAGTCCCTTCAGTGATGGAAAAACTTGCCAAAATGTTCACCTTTGATCTGTAACCATGTCAGTTAGTAGGCATCTATTATAAGGTATGTGCCTAGTGGAATATGTGAAACTGTAGAAATTACACTTAAATGATACTTACTTCTTCCCTTTGACAACTTCATAGGAACTGGTGTATTTCCTTTTGTTAGCAAAAAGTTCCACCATTTCAGGGATATAGTTCGCAAATAATATCTAAGGGGATCAGCAAATAAAATGTTAGGTCTCATTATATTTTATCAGTGCATTATAGTCATACATAATATTGGGGTTTATTTTGACACACTTATGCAAGCATGGAATATAATTTGTTCTACCTTCAGTCCCCAGTATTTCTGCTCCCAAACCCTCCCCCTGTTCTTCTTCCTCTATTGTACTGGTCTTCTTTCAATTTATTTATAGCTTTTAAAAAAACAGAAAGATGAAATTCACTGTGGTATATTCATATATATCCATAGCATATTCTGGTCAATTCAATTCCACCATTCCTCTCCTTTCCCATCCCTCTACTTCCCCATCAATCCCTTTCTTCTGTTCCATTGATCTTCTTTTCTTTCATGAAATTCCTCTCTATTTTCCCCCCTTATTTCAGTCTAGTTTCCTTGGTAGATACCCCCCCAAATTAGAATCAATATACCATAGTGATATAGTAAGATATGGAACCGCCTGAAGTGCCTGTGTGCAAATGAATGGATAAAGAAAATGTGGTGTATGTACATACAAAATGGAGTTTTACTCAGCTATAAAGAATTAAATTATGTTGGTAAATGAATGGAACATGATGCTTTATGACATAAGCCATATTCAAAAAAGTGAAGGGTTGAATGTTTTCTCTCATATGTGGAAAACTAGACCAAAATAAGGTCTCATTATTTTTACAAATGTTCTAAAATTCCAAGAATATAAAAGAAAAAAGTCATGTACAACTTTCTTCCATCTAGCAGGGGATATGACAGTTATCTGCATTTTAAAAGGGAGACCATTTTTCTTGATTGGCCTTTGGATCTGGCTAAAATTTAATAAAATGTTTTTCAGCATACAACATGATAAAGCAAAGGTAAGGGGAAGGTCGCTTCTCTTATGGTTTTGCCCTTCATAACTTTCAATTCCCTTCTTAATTCTGACTTTGCACTATTTGGGCCTTGGAAAAATGAAAAGGTCATGGGACTGAGGGAGCTTAAGAGATAATGATTGAGATGAAAGGATGTAACACCATGGACAGGAGGGTATGAGAAAGAAGATGGAGTACAGAACTCTTACTGGTTTTTTTGTTTTTTTTTTTTCCTTTTGGTACCAGGGATTGAACTCTGCAACAATCAACCAATGACCTACATCCCCACCCACTCCCTTTTTAAAATTTAGAGACAGGGTCTGGCTTAGGGCCTTACTAAGTTGCTTAGGTCTTCCCTAAGTTGCTAATACTGTCTTTGAACTCATGATCCTCCTGCCTCAGCCTCCTGTGTCCCTGGGATTACAGGCATGCACCACTGTACTGTGATAGTTTTTAAGTAACTAAAATAAAACTCATTAAAAGAAAAGGAGCCTTCCTTTGTCCTTAATATACTCCTGAACCAAGAATAGATGCTCATTTATCTGAAATTAAATGCTGATGGGTAAGAGCTTACTCATTTGGGCTGGATGAAACAGAACTTTCCTTAGATCAAATCTTGAATTTCCTTCTTCAGAAGAAAGACTTTAATTTGATGGTAAAAGATGAAAGAAGATCAGTTTATTCAAATCAAGGTAGAGGCTAAGGAAAGTTTTCTCCCTTTTCTACTACCCTTCACCCCTAGAAACCAAAAAATTGTACCTTGGGCTCTTGGGGATGCAGTTTATAAAATATGGAATTTATGCATCTTCTCATTTTCACATGACACCTACTTTCAAACCTTTACCTCTTGTGACTAACCAGTATTTTTCAGTTCATATAACTACATTCAAAATACACTTAAAAATATTGTTCACCAAACTCCCCAGGGTGAAGAACATGATAAAGGTCCGTCCTAGGGATGTCTTGGCTACCACATCTCCAAAGCCGACGGTTGACGTTGTTGCCATGACCAGGTAAATGGACTCAAAATATGTTATATTTTGTGAATTTCTACCTTTGAGCCAGGGATCACCAAAATTTTCCACCTGTTTAAAGAGAAAAGACTTAGATTTCTGAATGGAATCTAAGGGAAGGCTTAGAACAAATAGGCAAGACCTCAGATTAATCTCACTTAATTTCATATTTTTCAAAAATATTTTCCTGTTTTTTCCCTTGGAGTCATTACATTTTAAGAAAACTAAATGAAAAATTAAATGGTTCTGAGGCTGCTGTGAGGACTTTGCATATTTCAGGTGTGATCAAAAAGCCTGAGTTCTCTTCACTGTGATTATTGCTGAACCTGAGAGGATGTGTGGCTTGTGCTCAGTATCTGAAATACTCCATGGTGTGGAGGCCACTGCCCCATCTCTCTTCTCATGAGGCATGCCATCGCAGACTGGAGCCCAAGGACCCCAAAGTCTCTCAGGTCAAGCAGTTACCACTCATATTCATTTACTAACCAGATTAGGAGCACCATTGAGGAAAGAAGCATTTTAGTAAATGAGTACTTCATTTTAGTGAGCTTAAGTTACATAAATACTAGTGTAAGAAAAATAGACAAGCTTCCCAAGTATTTCCCCCTTTCCTTGCAAAAATATTTCCAGTGATAAAAAAAAAAAAACCTCTGAAAAATATTTTCCTGTTTTTTCCCTTGGAGTCATTACATTTTAAGAAAACTAAATTTATTATATTATCTTTTTTTTCTATTAAATAAATGTAGTAACAGGCATTTATGAGTATTATAAATATGTAAAATATAATATATATTTTATATAACATAATAGTTATTATTATGTATTATATATGCCATGCATTTTATATATGTTTATATTTATATACAATTTATAAGTATGTATTTATACATAATTGTTCTTTTTCCCTTTTTCCCCCTTAGTTTACATATTTCTTAGATGTTTTCCAGCAACAATGATGATAAAATTTTGGAGATGTCTGGAGAAAGTATGTGTTTTGTTTTGTTATTAAAAACTGGAATTGGGATCAGAAGTCATGTTATTTGCACATGGATTTGATCAATTTTTAAAAGCAATGTTCCAAATACAGACCTTTTCCTAATTTTGATGGGGCAGAGGGTTAAAATTGTTTATTCCTTTAACCCCACACTCCAAAATAGAAAAGAGGATGTATATTCATACTTAATTTCTATGGCTGATACTAGATATTGTGTACCAATCTGCTTCTGCTGACTCCTGGGGTCTTCACTATTTTTAAGACTAGTATATATCAGATGAAAGCCAAGTTTAAGTCACTCCTGTATATTGGGACAGTTTCCTTGAAGCTTAAACTCCATTGTGTTTCACAACATCTTGGCACAGGGATTCAATATTATCCCTGAGAAATACATTGTATAGAAGAAAAGCAAATTGATTTCAATCTGAGAATATCCTTGAAAATAATTTAAATAGCCCTTTAAAATTTAACTCACTGTCTTTGGGAGTATTTCTTACTTCAGTGTTTCAAATCCCTTTCTACTTTCCCAGCATCTCTCTAAATTGCTGGGGTAGTTTATGAGGAAAGAGAGTTGGCAGCCTTAAGCTGATCCATCTGTTCACTCTGCTTTTTCTCTTACCATGTTGGCATCAACCCATTAGAGCAAGATGGGAAGTAAGTTAAAGATAAGGCAAAGGATCATGGACCAGTGTTTAGATACTGAATCATTATCTAATTCCATATTTCAAAACTGAATCTCATGTTTTTAAACTTTATCTTTCAATGCAATTTAGGTCAGACATACCACGTAGGAGGAGAATTCTAGAACACTTTCCCATCTTCTCTCACCTCCCCACTAACATATTAGTTATATTCATGTGGCACATGCACATTCTAGTTTGTAACCATAAGGTGTCTGGTTTTACTTTCTGTCTTTTAAATTAAGTCAGTAATCACTAACACTATTTTTCATCACGGACTGACCATTTGTTTTTGTTTTGATTCATGACCTTTGCAGCTGCTTTTGATCAGGATACATTTCTGAAAGGGTTTCACAGGTGTTATTTTCCCTTGGATGCTTAAAGTAATAAAATAGGTTACTTTTTTTCACACAAACTTCAAGACATTTCTCTATCACTTTCTGGTATTCAGTAATGCTACCAAGAAATATGATGCTAGTTTTCCCCCCTTTTCTGTGTGTCTTGCTTTCTTCTGCATAGATTCTCTCCCTTATTCTTGGCAGTCAGTGATTGTTCCAAAACATGACTGGAACTGATAATTTAGAGTTGCCAGGTGATGTGGCGCATGCCTATAATTCTAGTGGCTGGGGAGGCTGAGGCAGGGGGATCACGAGTTTAAAGGCAGCCTCAGCAAAAGGAAGATGCTAAGCAACTCAGTGAGATGCTGTCTCTAAATAAAATACAAAACAGGGCTGGACATGTGGCTCTGTGGTCAAATGCCCTTCAGTTTAATCCCTGGAACCCATCACCCCCCAAATAATAATAATTTAGAGTCATTTTCCCTGGAATACAGTGTACTTTTTAATCTATTGATGTACAACCATGTTTTCAAACAATTTTCTGGTGCCATTTTTTGCATCCTTTCCTTTGAAAGTATTTATGATATTTATACTTTGTTGGATCAATATTGTTACCCATCTTTAATGTTTCTTCTCCACAATTATGTATCTTCTAAATCAGTAGTTTTCCTTTTGTCCTGTCATACATGTTTCTGAACATGTTAGTGTCACCATTATTATATTTTGTTTTTTTAATATGATTTTAGCTCTGTAATAATTTCTTCTTTTTCTCTGTAATCTCTCAACCTATTCTTCAGTTCCTCCAATTGTTTAATAATTCCATAGTCAAAACCTTATAAATTATTGTATGAAGGGTAATTTCAGTCTTTTTTATAGTTATTTGTATTTTTTTTCAAAATGAGGGATTTTCTTAACTTTTCTTTGTTCCCCTGGGCAAATTATCTTGTAATGATTGGTATTATGTAATTACTATTATAGTGGTATCTCTATCCCTTCCCTAACACCTTGTTATTTTTGACAGATTTGAAGCTTAGGTACCAAACTGATTCATCTCTAGTTAATGCTCATCTTTTGTCGGTATCAACATTCAGCAGGATATTGTGAGTATGGAAAGGTGTTGAGTTGGAATCATGATAACTTTTATTTTGATTTGTCACTTCAAACAGTCTCCCAATAAATCTACTGAGTATAGTCCCACTAGATTTTTTACATTTTGGAAATTAGTGTGACCCAAATAGAGCCCTTTAATTCACAAGTCATTTGGTTGCTTCTCCTTTCTCTGCATGCAGCCTTCCTTGGAGGTCTCCTCAGCTGGGGGACTGCATACCCAGTGGGGGAATAGGCTCACATGCTTAGAGAGAGGACAAGCAAGAGACTTCAATGATTTAAGTGGGTCAGGCAGATCCCATGCCCAACCCAAGAGCACCTGCTTTACCCAGGGAGCAGTCACTCTTCAGCTATGACTCTTGGTGGCCTTGAGAGTGTGGGGTTACCCCACTCTTGCATTTTCCCAAAGAACTTAGAAATCTGGAATTTTATGTGAGTGCTCCATAAAAGTTAGCAACTAATTAAAAAGATAGAAAACAGAAAATGAAAACATAATTAAGTCAAATACAACTTGCATATAGGCCACATTAAGCTGAAAATCCTCTAATTGGAATTGCCATTGAAGACAAGAGGTCAGAATGGCTTTTCCTTCAGCCTTCTAGGATGGCCAGCAAATCTCTACAGGAACACTGATGATTGCTTCTCCCCTGGTAGTTGCATGACTCCAGGTCTAATTCTCTACATTCAAGCATCTGCCTTTCCTGCTGTGACACATCTTCAAGAAAACCTTTCCCCTGCTCAAGTGCTAAAGAGGAATGTGACTGGCTTCAGATTTTTCAAAAGTTCCATAATAGTGTGCATTTAGTATTTAACCTTTCCTGGATAAATTGAGGATGGTAAGTGGTTTGACTTTTTGTTCTTGTTATTGTTATAAATGATTTTGAGAGACAGAGTCAAGGCCACAGGACTGCCCTTATATTTTCTATTTTGTTTTTCTCAAAGGATTAAGGATTCTTTAAGCTTTAAACCTCCCACTTCAATTTTCACATTCTTTGCATCAATTTCATATTTGCTCCTCAATTGTCCTCAAGAAGTAAAGACCAGGAATTTCTTTCATATTGATACAATCCATTTACTGTGTTGCTCACTATGTGGGATAGGAACTAGTCATTCCTATAGGTTAAGGAAGCAGAGAGATATTCCGATTAATTTCAGGAGCCTCAAAACTTCCTTTGGTGTGGCTGGGGTTGTGCCTAAGGTGCTAGAGTTCTTGCCTAGCATGTGTGAGGCACTGAGTTCGATTCTCAGCATGGCATATAAGTAAATAGAATAAAGGTCCATTGAAAATTAAAAAAATATATATTTTTATAAAAACTTTCTTTGGCAATAGCAACTCCTCCTGGCCAACTATATAGCTTCTGTGTCTGAAATTTTTTAATTGTGTTTCTCCTCCCTCCTCCTCCTCTTCCTCTTCCACCTCCCCCCCACCTTTAAGTGGTTGAACTCAGGGCCTAGTTCATACTAAGCTCTCTCTCTCTCTCTCTCTCTCTCTCTATATATATATATATATATATATATATATATATATATATATATATATAATTTGAGAATTCCTAGATCTCCATGAAATTTAGCAATAAATTTTACCTATTATGCATAACTTCAGACTTTATTATTTCTTTCCCTAAGAGCAAATTATCAAGGTGTGATCATGAGAGACACATATTTGAGATATGAAGGTGAGAAACAACCCTATATAGGGGTAGTAAAAAGTTAACCCTTTGTTCTATGCAGATTCCTATTCATTTTTTGAAGAAAGGTTGCTCACATTGACAGGCACACTGTTAGGCATCCTGATGCAATGCTTACCAGGTGAATGAATCCTGCAGCCGTGAACCAGGTACTGAGAGCTATTGATAACAGTTTGGAAAACTTCACTGAATTACTAGAGAAAGAAAGACAAAAAGCTGTTGGGGCTCCTCAAACAGGCTCCAAAATAACAAGAAAACCTCATCCTTTTAGATTTTGCTTGCTACTCAAGATTTGAATCATACACCTGGAACAATGACATTCCCAGTGGAAAGTATGACAAATACAGACTTCCAAGCTCCACCCTCAGCTACTAATCAGCATTATTGCAAAATTCTTTGCTTGATTCATACATGGTAGAGTCTGGAAAACCCAGCTCTCTAACTCAACTGGTCCTATTTATTTCAAAAATTATGAATTTTGCTGTAATATCCATTAGCCTTCTATTATATATCCTTTAAAAATACACAGCATGAGGATCATCATAAGATCAATCTACTAGATTATTATGTTGTCTAAAGTAAAAGTACAAAATGAATAAACCCAGCAGTCCAGGGAGTAGGCTTGCAAAATGAAATTTTTAGTAAATCATAGAAATGTAGAGTCCCTGAGATTGCTGAACTCAGAGCAGAATCTTGGAGGGAAGACGGTCAGAGATCCTCTTCTCACCCCAGGAAAGCCCGAGAGTTTAGCTGAAACCTTTGTGATTTTCAGGCAGCACCATTTGTCACACAAGAATAGCCTTTCCTACCCAGACTTCTCCACAATGCACAAACTCTTAGCAATGAAATGCACCTGGCTTGTAATACTTGATTTTTCTAGTGAAAATGTAGAAAATAAGGGGTGAGTAGATTTTGAGTAGGTAACAGACCAAACTGCTTTAAATTTTAGATGTAGTGCTGCTCAAAGTTGTTCGGATTTTGTTGTTTTTTGAAGATATGAAGGTAGGTCTTCTTTTTTTTTTCCCCAAGGTTGGGGATCAAACCATGCACCTAGGTAAAATTTTACCTAGTGTGCCATGGCTTTATTTCTGCAAGCAGTAGTTAACTGATGCAAATGAACAACTCTCACATACAGAGGAACTGTTACACTCCTAAACTTGAAAAAATGCTTCTTATTTTACCTGGCAAGGAGAAACATGATTCATTAAAAAAAATGTGTAGAGCCAAAGCCTTTGAATTATTTGTTTATTTTTTGGTGGAGGGACCTAGAACTAGAAGACAACTGGAATTTACAAAAACAAAAAAACAACAACAAAAAAAAACCCCAGTCTCTTTAAAATGATCACAAAGTTTGGGGCCAGTGTACCATGATGGGAAAAAATGAATAAATAATATGAATACTGAGGGACTTCATGATTTTTACACTGAAATTCTGTTGGGAATTGAGTGGAGCCTGAGGTCCAGTTAACATTTTCCTTCTAATCCAAACTACTAAACAAGCAGTACAGCCAGACAAAGCCAGCATTTACCTTGTCTTGATGGCTTGTAGAATTTGCAAGATTCGAGGGAGTTCCAGAAGCCGCAAAGCTCTTAGAAACCTTAAACCTACAGAGCAATCAAAAGGAGAAAGATTCCAAATGAAGAGGGTCACCCCAGGGAGCAGCCTCAATGATAACACGACTGGAATTTCATGCATTCTTTTCCTCCCTGAAATGTCTAAATGTAGTGTAGTGTTAAGAGGGTAAGAACATGAGCTGAAGTTCAAATCCTGGTCCTGACACTTACTAGCCAATGTCACCCCAGACAATTCTCTAACTTCTATAGTTCCTCATCTCTAAATTGGGAATTCTAATAATATCTACTTTATATAGTTGTAGAGTTAATAGAAAGCATGTTAAAGCATGCCTTCCATATAATGAGCACTGTTCATTTTACTCTCTTCTTTTGAACTGGGAACAAATTTTCATCAAGCACTTAAACTCTTGACTATCCAATTTCTATAAACTCTTCAGTATTTGTTGGATGTGTTATTTTATGCAGCTTTCTAATAATGGTAGCAAGGAAACTGGTATATATTTATAGATAAGAAATAAAAATATAAGATTACATGAAAAGCAATTAAAGCTACATACTACCAATGCACTGTCAATGTATCTACTTTAAAGGCAAAACAACTCATTAAGTAATTCCCAAACATGTTGCAGCATGTGTAGGTATGATGATTAGCTTTTGAAAACTAAGGGAGGCTTTTTATCCCAGTGCATGTGGGATCCCCACACAACAGTGCCACAGGAGAATGGAATTCTTGATCTTTTCCTCTCAGATTGTGGCTGTGGTCATTCCATCAACAACAATGGAATGCTTACTCTATACCAGGTACACTGCTAGGTGCTGAGGCCAAAAAAAGATTTCTGTAAACACCATCTAAAACCACATGATTAGGGAGAGGAATTTTTAAAATAACAGTCAGGATTCAAAGAAAATGAAAGATAAACACTTACAGATGATGGTAAGAGGTTTTTTTTTCCCATTATATATTGTTATTGATTCCAACAGCATACTTACCTAGCCAATTACTCTTCAAGTAATAAGAAATAAATGTTGGTGGGATGGTGAAAATGTCTACAATGGAATTCATCTCCAACCAGAACTTGATCTTGTCATCAGCTGCCAAAAACTATCAAATGGAAAAAAAAATTCAAAATTCTGTCATGCTCAGGAATTTTAAAGTGAACAGGAGAGATGACATTATCCAACTGCATTTCATTCATCATCTGAAGCTTTGTTCTTGTTCTATCTTATACATGTGCAAACACAACAAATATATGTGCATCTATAACAACTTTGCATCTATATAAATATATCTTATAGTAGTTATTATAAATGTACATATATTTACATAGATGCAGATATTGCACTTTTAGTGGGTGTTAAATAAATAAACATATATGCATTTTACTTACTGAATCTTAATTTTCACATTTCAGTATAAGCATTTTCACCTTTTTACTGCTCCTAGAGTTTTCTGATAATGAAATGACATAAATAAAACCCCCATTGTGTGCTATGAAGATATATGATTTAGGATGATCTACAATGAAAAAGGTATAGCTTCCTAGAACCTTGGTTGACCATGCCTGTATTTATGAACTTTGCTATTTAGATTAAGAAAACTAGATTTCCAGAGGGAGAGTCTGCTATAACAGAAGATTTTGATGGAAAGTGTGGTCAGAGTGAGATTTAAAGGAAGGTAGTAAAAATTCACATCTTATATATGTGTATATACACTTGCATAAACAATATGCTCATATGGATAAAATATTTGATTTTATACTGTATGTACATATAAAGGTATATGTATATAGTCTCCCATAGTTATGAAATGCATAAATACATTAAAAACTAGAATGAGTACTTACTAAATGTCTATGAAATAAAAGAATTGCTTCATAAATGCGTGTAACATAAGTGAAACTACAACAAAATAGTATTTTACATTGCCATATTGCACACATACCATTAGTCAAACAATGACATCTTCTGGAGATTTGTTCAAGCTCTGCTAGCTTGTGATTATTAATAGAGTTTTCCTAGTGGTAGGTGAGAAAGGAGGACATTGTGACAGGGTGATGGTACTTAATAAAGGAATTGTTTTTACTTGTGTTGGAATTTTGGATCTGGCTTACAGTTTCAAGTGCAGGAGAGAGAAGATTAAGGCCTTATTATATGTTTAACAACGTAGAGAACAGACCCTTCATCTTTAGAGCCTGAAAAACTTGTGCAAATTGTGTAACTAAGGTATAGGCAGGTCTCTTCAAAAGTTGTTCCTGTTGTGTTTGTGTGTCTACCCACATTTCCCACTGGTACTTACTCTCAACCCAAAATAGAAACTGAAGAAAGCATTGAAAATCAAATCCACAGGGATTGTTTTGTCTTCATATGAAGAACAGCTTCCAACAGGGCTGGCAAAGAAATGAGGGCAGTTTGTAAAGGTGAACATTTAAAAAAGCTATAACTATAAAGGACAAATAAAAGGAGAGGATAGGCAATTTTCTCTTTATTCATCATGAATGGTCAGTTAAGTTCAAATCTGAAGAAAATTACCTTTCTCCTGGGAGTAGAGCTATGCATAAACAAAACCACTGGACCACCCATGGAGCTAAAAATAACAGGAAAATTACACCCTATTTCTGTCATAGGCTTTATTGGTTTCATTTCAATTTTTTCATTGGTATTCAGAGCCATAAAGATAATGTGACTCTTCTTGGTTTGCAAGACTATCTATCTAGTCTGGATATTTGACAGAATTTGCAAGATTCCAGTATTTGACACAGAGCTCTTCTTTGTCAAGTGGACTAAACTGAACCAAATTCAAAGAAAATTTCCTAAAAGATCTGCTTGGAATTTTACAAATCAAAGACTACCAACTCTCCCTAGGTTCTGTAAAGTTGCCTAACATTTGTGGCCCTGCAAATCCTAATTTTATCTCAGCTAAAAATTTGATATAATTCCCAGATGATTGTTATAGAGTTCAAGATTAGGTTGGCTTTAGTTAAAAAAATAATCTATCCTAACATAAGAAAGGAGTGCCTTCAGAGGACAGCAGACCACAGTCTGCTCCTCTATCTGAGGTGAGATCTAACATGTTCCTTTCTCAAAACCATTCAAAGTTCTCTGAAATCTCTGAGAAACTCTGAAACTACTACAGGACTTTTGTTTCAACACCTGAGGAATTCAAAAGCTTTCATTAAGTTAATTTTAAGCGAGGAGAGGACAACTAGAGGCTTGGTATGCCAAAGACTCTAGGGTTATCTGTGCATACCAATTTCTTCTAATAATGTAGGATGGCAGGATGCAGGGCAAACTCACACTTTTTCTTTCTTTTTTTATTTTATTTTATTGTGTGTGTGCAGAACTGGGTTCATGCTTGCTTGGGCAATTAAGCATTTGTCATTTTTTTTATGAGCTTGGTGAGTGTGTACACGTTTGTTGTGTGAAAACATATTAAACCTTATTCCTAAGGAGACAATTTTAGAGTAGATGAATAAGTTATTGATGTAGAAGACAAGAGTAATAGGATTTTTACTCACTCAGTAGAATTGATGAAATAGATTATAAGAGACCCGATGCTTAGTACAAACACAAGAATCACCTAGAAACAGAAACAAAGATAGGGGAGAAGGGGAGATCCATTTTATTGACATGAAATAAACCAAATTATGTTGTCTCTTTTTTAAAAAAAACACGTTAAAATAAATTCTATTTGTGTATATTTATTGCTAGGTAGAGAGGGGACAAGAGGAAATGTGCTTTCTCTTTTTACCTTGCCTGCTACATATGTGTAACTAATTATTCGCACATTCACGTATGCTAGCCTTAATTAATTAATTCAATCACTCATTCATCCAAGAAAAATGGATTGAACCTTTTACTAAATAAACATGCATGCACTTTACTTACCTAATATGACTCACACACACTTGAAAATGAATAGTTTATTCTTCCTGCTACCCCTAGAGCTTATCAAATATTTAATGCTTACCATGTGTTATGTACTTCATTATGTTAGAAAATGGAGGCTATAGGATGAAGACCCTTGACCTGAACTGGCAATGGTAGAAGAAACAATTCCAAACATATCCACCTCAAAGGATACTCAGAATTTTGGCAGGAAGTGAAGTATTGAAAGTAAGAAGAAGAAAATGAGTGCTTTTAACATACCAATGTGTCTAGCCTGAAATAAGCCAAGCTTGTGAAATGTAATTAGAAAACTGCCCATTCAAAGCCCTCAATGCATTTAAATAAAATCCTTGGCAGCCTCTGTGATTTTTCAGGTTGGCTCTAGGTAACTAAACAATTCCCCCGGTTATTTCTAGTTCTGAAACCATCCAGGTTTTAATATTTTCAGACCAATGTAGTTCCAATGATAAAATTCTAAAATCTATTTACAATTAAGGCTTCATTCCCTTTCAGCTCAGATGTTTCCTGGGTAGGCTCCTTGTTTTGGTAAGGGGGTGGGGGCTGTTCAGTGTCTTCTCTACTAACCCTTTCTCTTTTTTGATTTCTAATTTTCCACTGACTACACTGCTTTTGGCCTCTACAGAATTATAGGTCAGTGTGGGGTGGGGGAGGGGGGAAGAAGGGGAGGTTGGAGCAGGCAATGTCTCACCAGACTGGTGTTAGGTCATGAGGCTCCCACCCTGTAGCTCTCCGGGAAGGTGTATAATGCCTACTTTCAGGGATGGTTCTATTGCTCTTTGTTGATCCCAATTCAATCCCTGCTCAAATTCAGCAAATATTTCTTTAGCTCCTATTGTGACCCAAGTACAGTTCTGTTCGTCTGTGAACCACAGATATGAAGAATTCTGTCCCCATTTAGCATACAGATCATACAATAAATAAAGATAATTAATATGCTAAACAAACATATGGTATGTAAGAAAATAAATGCTAAGAAATTAAAGTAGAGAAATGTAAAGAGGATCAGAAATGCAAGGGGAAGGGGCAGAGATGTGGAAATCTTGATAATATTTGATGGTTAACTATTCCATCTGTGGTTCCCTTCATTTGGGTGAACATATTCCACTTTCCCACACTGATTGATGGCGAATCTTTCCTCAATACTCCTCACACTTTGATTTTCTTCTGGAGCCCTTATTCCTCCACATGCCTACTTGAACAGGTTACAGAAGGCTCCCACTTGTGACATGCATGTGGCCCATGGAAGCAAACCAGCATTCCTTGCCCCAGCAAACACTGATAGGACGGATGACCTCCAGAGTCAGGGCTTCTCTGGGACAAAGCAGGTAGCCCAGCAGTCTTTTGTTACTGTTCTCTCCAGTGGGGAAAGTTGGCAAAGGAGAGGCTCAGGATACAGTGGGAATACTGCTTTTCAGTGAGAAGGTTTTCAGAGGGAATACACCAAAATTAAATATTAAAATCACAGACACACAGAAGTTTGTATGCTTTGAATATAGGATTAAAAAGAATACCTTGGGAATCTAGCTGATAGCACTGTGGTGCTAGTTTACTGCAGAGGAGATGGGCAACCTTATCAGAAAGATTGAATTTGCAAAGAAAATTTGGTATGGGGAACCCATGGAACAGAGGGGCAGTTTGAACTTGAGTGACCCAGAAGCAGTGTGGCGAGCTGGTATATGAAGGGTGCTCCCTGCTCCTCCAGGGAGGGCAGAGAGCTGAGGAGGGATGCCATATTAAATTGGCCACAGCAGCTTTCTGCTGGGGGAGCCTAGGGATTCATAACAAGCATCAGCCGACTGTCCCTGCATGTGCTTGCCATTAGATCTGGAGTCTACCTGGCTGAGCCCAACTGAGATAGGCACAGAAGAGATTGCAGCCAAGGGGACTCAGGCGGGGGCTATGGAGTGGTAGGTAGCTTTCCCTTTTGGTTTGGTGGATTGCAAAACTAGTTGGAAAGAGAAAGTGAACAGGTGAATATATTATCAGATACTATCTGTATCTGATCCTGGGAAGATCGCATTTATGGGCAGTGGGGTTATGCTTGACCAGCAGAGATCCAGTTGGTCACTTTGCCCCAATAGTGGATTTCTCCAGAGACCCCTCCAGAGATTGGGCCCAGCACAGATTGGCATCTGCTCAGCAGAAGTGTGGCTGGAAGTATTTTGTCTCGAGCAGTTACATAGGACATAGTTTATACATAGAACATAGTTTAGGACATAGTTTGAAAGGTCAGAACTAAATGCCAGCTGCCTGCACTTCACATTTAGAACTCTGCATCAGTCCATCCAGGAGGGTATCCACCTAGTTATGTGGTCAAAACTCCAGTTGTCACTATTCTCTATTCTATCCTAACAATTGGCAAGAAGGGAAACTGAGAGTTATTACAGCCAGCCTCAGGTCCTGGCCAATCTAGCAGACGGCTTAGTGAGCAACTAAAAAACAAACACAAACAAACAAACAGTTGAACATCCCTCAGCCCTGTCCTTCCTAAGTGTAACACAGCCTGAGAGGAAACGGAGAAAAGGACAGTGAGGTGCAGACAGTGAAATCCGTCCTTAAGGACAGTTTTGATCACCTCAGTGAAGACGATTTGGCATTAGGATTTTTTTCTTTTTTCTTCTTTTTCCACTGAGAATAAATGGGAGTGTGTGTGTTCTAGTTGTGCTGACTGGCACATTCATATGCAAACATAAATTCATTTTTCTTTTATTTTTTATCATTTTTCTTCTTCTCTTTCCTCATTCTTCTGTCATTTTGCCTTGCTTTAACGTTAGAGGAAAAGGGGTTTTTATTTGTTTTGGTTTGACATTTTGCTTCGTTTGTTTTAGCTCTTGTTTTTGTTTCTCTTACTGCGTTTTTCTCTCTTCTCCCTTCAATTGTCAACTTTGCTTGTTCTCTTTATCTTTCTTGTTATTTATTTTTAAGTTATTTTTTACTTCTCCTTTTTATAGCCATCACATGCTCTCTCTTTCCTGCTTTACTTGTTTGCCTTTTGAATATTTTAAAACTTCTTTTCTTCTCACCCCATTTTCTCTTCTCTCAGTGAACCTAATTTTACTATCTTTAGGAACAGTTTGGTTTATATACTTCCTTTAAAAATAATTTAGTTTATATAATTCCTGCCCCACCATTCATGTTGTTGAGTTATTAGTACTGTTGAGTTGAAAACTGCTGTGTACTTTAATGCTTGGTCTACCTCATGGCTGTTTTTTGCTGATGCTGTTGTTAAATGCTTACCTCACCATTCCCCTTTCTGTGGTAATTAATTGTGTATAGTGGGCCTATGACATTTCTTCTAAAGCTGTGAACTTATTATTACTATTGCTGCTATTGCTTGTTTCCCCTTTTTCTGAGAGGGGCTGGGAAGTGACTGGTTCACTGTGAATTCACAAGGTAGAGCTTCCTCAGCTGAACCATACCTGTAGCTCAGCAGAGTGATGGTACACCTACCTCCAGACACAGACTGATCTCATTCCAGTTTCATCAATGCTTTAACTCATTGAATGGGGGAGACAACCCCCCCAAATCAATGACTAGGCCCCAAGTTGGAAAAACAAGAGAGGGGTATCTGTCAGGTCTCATTTTTGCCCATCACTTCTATAGAAAAATGAGAAATATTCCAAAATGATCACTCAGAGAAACCCACAGTGTTATGGCAGCTCAATCAGAGTGAATTAAATCAGCAGTCCTGCAGTGGCAAATTGAGGGGTATTGGTGGTTCAAACTAACACTTGAACCCCCTGAACCTACATTTTGAAGTGAAGAGATATCAATAACACGGGGCTTATTACAAAAAAGACAACTACATACCAAGACACATCCTCACAAAAGAGAAAGAGGAATTTATCTCAATATATGCACAAGTACAAGACCTCTTAAAACACAAAGAAACAAGTAAACAAGTCTCATTTCAAATGTTACAAGGGATATGAATAGGAAAAAGAGAAAGTCAAACAATCTGTTTAACGATGGCATTATTCTATACTTAGCAGATCCAAAAAACTCCACCAGAATACCTCTAGATCTGATAAACACATTCGGCAAAATAGTATGATCCAAGATCAACATACAAAAATCAATTTCCTACTTAAAAATGAATCTGCTGAGAAAAAAAAAAAAAGAAACTACTTTATTCACAGTAGCCTCAAAAAGCTTTATTTAATCAAGAAAACTACTTTATTCACAATAGCCTCAAAAAACTTTATAAATAAATCTAAATAAGGATATGAAAGAATCCTACAATAAAAATTAGAAAGTACTGAAGAGAATAACTGAGAAAGCTCTTGAAAGATTGAAAAACTTACCAGGTTCTTGGATCAGTAGAATTAATATTATCAAAATGGCCGTATGACCAAAAGCATTCTACAGATTCAATGTAATACCCATCAAACATAACTAGAAAAAAGAGTGATAGAATTTATATAGAAGAATAAAAGGCCCACAATAGTCAAAACAATTCTGAACAACAGGAGTGAGGCTGGAGACAGCATAATACCTTATCTCAAATATACTATGAGCTATAATAACAAAAATGGCATGGGTGTGGCGTAAATACAGATACGAAGACCCATGGAATAAACTGGAAGACACAAAGACAAATGGACGTAAATCCAGTCATATGATTCTTGACACAGGTGCTAGAAGCAAATGTTGGAGAAAAAGATTATCCTT